GGGAAATGGGAAATGGGGCATCGGGCAGCCCAAATTCCCCACCGCTTCGCCTCTGCCATCGCAGCCGGTTCAGTTTTTAGATGAAGAGCAAGTCGGCATCTTCCCCCCCCATAACCGTACGCTGCAGAGAGGGTCTCATCCAGCCCCGGGGAAATCCTCCCCTCTGTAAGGTTTCTGCGGTACCAACCCCCTTTCCTCCGGGCAGCTCATGCCCCCCATCCCGGGGGCTGCGGGGACCTGCCGGGGGCGGTGGGTGCCCCAGGAGGGGCATCTGCCTGCTCTGAAATGCCTTGGCCACGGAGAGAGCAACAGGGAGGCTTTTGTTCTGCACCAGAAACTTTTCATCCTTCTTTACGGCTCCTTTTTTATTTCTTTTGGCTGCGCTCTCACAAATCTGAAGCAGATTAAAATACAGTTCCTCCCCCCCGCTCCCCTAAAAAAAAAAAACCAACCCCAAAGCTTGGCTGCTTAAAATCATCAGATTTCACTGAAGTCCTAAAGTTAACAGTTTCCTGGATCCTGTGCAGGCTAACTTATTTTTTCCTTCTAACCTCCGTGGTTTTTGCCGTAACATTTCTCAGCTGTTGCAGGAGGAGGGAGGGAGGACCAGGGTAGCTCTGATGTGGAGGAGGTTATTTCACGCAGGGGTTGGATGAATCTGGTGTGGGACTCGCTGGACTTGCACCGTAGGGGACCGAAGGGTTGTCCCCAGTGGGCTGAGACCCTGCGGTATGGCTGGCAGGTAGGTGACGGCTGCATTGGTGACGTCCTTTTGGGGCAAAATATTAGGGAAGTGGTACCGTTGGAAGAAGAGAGTAGGATGCTGTGGGTGGGACGGAGCTCCGTTTCTACTGATCGTTTGTTTGCCGGGGGCTGTGATGGTTTGTAGCTGCGGCCGAGGTCATGGGGACCGGTGGAAGAGCTGCACGGCTCCGGCTGGACACGACCATAAGGAGTTTTTTCTGGCTCAGTGAGATTTGCTGCCCTAAATCCAGCCTGGGTCCTCCTTACCCGCCATCTCTGCTTTTGTGCTTGGTCCGCTGTGGCATCTCCTGGTGGGAGAGCTGAAGGGAAGCCCCCGGCTCTGGTAAGAAGAGCATCGCAAGTTAAAGGAGTTGTAAAGGAAAGAAAAATAGTAGTCTGGTGCTGGTTGGTTTTGTTGCCTCTTCTCCAAGAGTGGTCTCTCCTTCCTTGCAAAAAATCACTCGAGGCTTTCCTAGATGGAGGACGTTTGATTTTCTCTTGGGTGGTTGAGGAGCTGGAGCCGGCCGACCTTGGCCAACGCCAGTGACTGTCGACACAAGCCTGAGGGTGAGCGGGGACAGCCGGAGCCTTGTCCTTCAGCCAAAACATCCTCTGTCGCGTGAGCGTGACCAAGGGGAGAATCCCTGAACCGTCTAAAATCCCTTTGACCCAGCAAACGGTGCGGAGATGAAAACCAAACCCAACCCTGCGCAGCGACGCTGAGCTGTGCATTAACTCTGCTGGAGCCGGGAACAAAGGTTCAGGGGCTGGTTTTGGCTTTTTTTAATTTATTTGCAAAGCAAAACAGCTCAGCTGAGCGGAGCAAGCGTTGGTGGAGGCGTGTGAGCTGCCGTGTGGTTGCTGTGCTATAAAATCCCATCCCCACCAGTGCTCGCGGGGGGGTGTGCCGGCCCCCCGAGCTCTTGTAGCATTTCCACGTTGGCCGGGAGAGTTTCTGAACATGCGTGTTGGTCTCTGGAGGCTTTAATCAAATCCAGGCTTTTACCAGAAATCGCCTCGAAACTTCCAGCGAGCCGAGGAAACCGAAAGCAGCCGGAGCGAGGAGGCTCTCGGGCGGGCGTTCGGCGCCGGCGGAGATGCTGCCTTCGGCGAGGGGCGCGAGGAGGGTGCGGGCGAGGGGCTAGTGCCGGCGAAGCAGCTGGGATGTACGGTGAGTCTGCTCCCTGCATAGCAGCTGGGGAGCATGCAGTGTATGTACGAGCAATGCGTATATGATGGGAGGATGGAGGAAAGCCCAGCAGGTTCAGCAAAAAAGGGTTGTCAAGGGGGAAAGGAGATGCGGGAGCGAGGATGCTGCTTGGAGAAGGAGCAGGACATTCAGAGGATGCTTTGGTTTTTGGAGCATCGCTCCCCGGCACGTTTGGGTTCGGGTCCCGTGGTTTCCCCGCCGTCTTCTCACCCCGTGCAAAAACTGGGAGCCGTGCAATTAAGGCGCCGTTGAAAACTCCCCGGTCCAGGGGAGGGTTTTGTTATCCCTCGGTCATTTTATTTGGGAAACGGGGTCCAGACTTCAGGTACTTTCCGTGCTTGTTGTGCAATTTAATTGTGCGTCCAGCCCTCTCCTGTGGGCAGAAAGGAAAACAAGGTGTATTTTTTAACTTCCTTTTCTAAGCTGGGGGCGGGTGAACTTTATGCCTGGCCAGAGACGGTTGTGATCATTCAAGGGTGAACGGCTCGGAGAGTGATTGTGATAGAAAGGAATAATAAGAAGCAATAATAAATATGTGCTTTCCAGTTCAGGGTTTTGAGTATTAATGTGGCATTACGGCAGCGAGGGGATTTTTACGGCAGTACAGAGATATCGGGCTGGTTTTCCACCCGACTCCTGACAAACACTCCGCGAGGGTTATTGTAAAATATTAGCGTCCCGTGCGATAAAACTAAAATCATGGGAGAGATCATACGCTGAAGTCGTTATCCCAGGCAGCTGCTCGTGGCTTCACTGGGTCTCTCCGAGGGGAGGGAGGTTTTGGTCACGTGTCGGAGACGTGGTACGTCGACAGCCAAAATTGTTGCATCTTCCTCTTTGCTGCCGCTCGCCGGTGCTTCGGGGTTTTGCTGGGGGGAAGCAGCCTGGGGTTATACCAAGGAACAAAGCTGAAACCTGCGAAAACGCCCTTAAACCGCCCGACCCGGATCTTGCGTGGAAAAAACAAACCAAGTCTCGTTTATGGCCCCTATAATTTCCCAGCGGCGCTGCCGTATGGCGTGGGAGCGTCCTTGCCCTGTCCGTCCTGCCTGGGACGCGCTGGGAGCGTGCTGAACCTGCGCTGGTTCACGCGCATGCTCGATGGTTTTGGAGGGGGGATTTCTACGGAGTGAGGAATCGATTTTGGAAACCGCGGGAGGGGAAGGGAGGAAAAACCTTCCTTGCTACAAGGCTTTCTGGCTGTTTTCGATGTTTTGGCCTAATTAATGAGGGTTCGGGGGCATTGGCTGCAGTCGGGGCTGCTCGGATGCAAATCCCCGCTGTCCGTCCGATGCAGCGTTTAACTTGAAGGACGATGCGTGTGTAAGGAAGAGGGGAAATAGCTGGAGGAGCAGCTCGCAGCGGGAGAAGAAAAACCCCAGCCCCGGCTGATCCGGCCCCGCTTTGTTGTCAGGCTTGCCGAGCTGGGGGCTTGGTTTCGGGCAAGGATGCCTTCGCCCTGGAGGGCGAGGAGCGAGAAGGAAGCGCTGCCGGCTGCCCTCTCCTTCTCCCCCACCTGCCTTTGGAGGGGCCATTGGTCTCCCCGTGCTGCCGAAGGAGCCTCACGTCCATGTGTTTTCTCCCTGTCTCCGCAGCCTACCCATGAGCTCGGACTTCCAGCATTACAGTTTCAGGATGCCGAACATCGGGTTCCAGAACCTGCCTCTCAACATATACATCGTGGTTTTCGGCACGGCCATCTTCGTCTTCATCCTCAGTTTGCTCTTCTGTTGCTACTTGATCAGGTAAGGGAATTTTCCCCGGCTGCCCCGGTTCAGACCGAGCCCAGCACCGATCCCTCCATCCCAAAACGAGGATGGCACCACCGTGTCTTGCCAAACCGATGTGACCCATGAAAGAGGTTTAACCTTCCCCCATCGTCACGCTCAGCCCAACGTTCATCCCTAATAGAGCCAACACACCCAGTGCAAACACAGTGAGTACCAAACACCCAACACATCTTGGAGCTACCAGTCCCGCGGGGCAGTTACGTTACCCGCTTTAAAAACAGGAGAGATGCTTATGTGTACGCTCAAACAGGCTTGAAAACATGGTTGGCTTCTCAAAAAGACTAAGGGGGTGGCCCAGCACCGATCCCTCCATCCCAAAACGAGGATGGCACCACCGTGTCTTGCCAAACCGATGTGACCCATGAAAGAGGTTTAACCTTCCCCCATCGTCACGCTCAGCCCAACGTTCATCCCTAATAGAGCCAACACACCCAGTGCAAACACAGTGAGTACCAAACACCCAACACATCTTGGAGCTACCAGTCCCGCGGGGCAGTTACGTTACCCGCTTTAAAAACAGGAGAGATGCTTATGTGTACGCTCAAACAGGCTTGAAAACATGGTTGGCTTCTCAAAAAGACTGGAAGGGGGATGTTTTATGGTTCCTGCTTTCTGCTTAATGTTTCAACACGTTTTCCTCTTTAATGAGTAACTTGTGTACTGTGTGCTTAAGAAATGTTTAATACCTGCTCCGTTCGTTATTGTACACAAATTGCTCATTCAACAGCGCAGTTTAGAGATTAATGATGCAGAGTTGATTTGTTAATCTGAACGATGGGGAGCGGGACGGGAGGGTTAAAGGTTGTTCCAGTTTGGGGCTTGTTTTAATTATTTTATGGGCCACTGGGGGGAGAGTTGGGCTGCTAATTGAGAGAAGAAACTCTTCCTGCCGGAGGGAAAGAGAGAGGCAAGTGGGGAAGAACACGGTGCCTGGGAATCGAGGCGGTGACGGGGGCACGTTGTGCTGATAACCCGGGATGTGGGGCCGGTCGCACCTCTCCCTGTGGCCGGGAGCAGAGGGCATCGCTCTGCCGGCAGCGGCTGCCGAAATCCTGTGCGCCCAGAGCTCTCCTGCCGAGTTGCAGAAGAGCTTTTCCATCCCCTTTCCCTCCCCTCTGGCATTTCGGATGGCCCCAGCTCCCTGCTTAGCCGTGCATCCATCGCGTCCTCTCCCTCTGTCCCCGTAAGGCAGGCGCCTGGTCTCTTCTTGCACCGCGGAGGCTGTGTCTGGCTGGCTCACAGCAGCCAGTCCCACCAGGTTTTCTATCCAGAGGGTGCTGAAAATGTTTTGTCCTGCTGTTGTAGACCAGGGAAGCAAGATTTCAGTGTCACCTTCTAAATATTTGATAATTTCCACCTATTTTCAGCTCTGTACCAAGCAAAACCTTGTAACACTTGCAGGTGAGCCCAAACCCAGGCTTACCGAGGGGTGATTTGGGCTGCCTGGGCATCATATCTTCACTTTCGCCCGCAATTACGCACAGGAAAAGGGTGTTCGAAGGTGCAATGCCTCTGTCCACCCCGGCAGACAAGGCAGAAACAGATCGAGGGGTCATCCCCGACCAGGCGATTTGTATCTCGGTGCTCGATGTTAACAAGGTTTGTGCTGGGATGTTGCATCTGTGTCCAGTGTTCGCATTTTAACTGGGACGCCAGTGGGAGGGGATGCAAAAAAAAGTAGACAAACGGTGTTTGGGAAGCTCAAGGACATGTTTTGCCCAGATTGAGCTTGAATCTGTATGGCTCGCTTGCAAAATGGAGAGGTGTTTGGACTTTCAGAGTATTTTCCTGGGCACCGGGTCTTGCTGGGTGTGTTTTGCCCCAAAGAAGAAATAACAAGTAGTAATGTCTGGAAGATCAAGCCAGAAAATCTTTAAATTTAGAAGTTGGAGGCGTGTTGTAAGAGAGGGAGGGTGAGTAACCGGTGAGACAAGCCAGCAAGGGAAGTGGCAAGTCCTCCGTCTCTTCATGTCTTTAAATCAAGACAGAGGGCCTTTCTGGAGGAGACGTTTTGGCTCCCATTCCCAGGAGTAACGAAGTGCTATTTAACGACCTATGATAGATGGGAGGCTGGCTTAGATCATCTAATGATCCCTTTATAGCCCTAAACTCTATAGAGGCTCTATGAATCGCTCTTCAAACCACCGCCCCCAGCTCTATTACTGGCGAAACGGTGCCAAGCCAGAATCCTCCAGCCCTCGTTTTGGAGGGTTTCGCCATGCCACGGGTATTAGCTGTGCCGACGTGCCCCAGGAGCATCCACCTCCTTTGAATTCGCTGTGTAATCTCAGCTTACGCGGGATATAAAAGCTTGAGCTTCGGCGTGGTTTGGAAAGCCTTGCAGACGGACAGCGGGACGAGGACCACGTGCCTGCCAGTGCAGAGCATCCCAAATGATTGTTCCAGGAAGGGTTTGCCGTGTCGCTCCCCTTCAGTGCCATTTAACGCCGAAGCATTGCTGGCGCCTGGCTGCATAGCAAGCAAATACCCGTAGCCCTGCGGCAGGAGGATTTGGTATACAAAGTAAGATACTGAATTTAAATTGAATTTTTCCCCCTCCTGAACCAGCTGCTAAAGCCTCCTGGATTACCCCACGCATTCCTGACCCCTTCTGCAATGAGATGAGTGGCTTTAATACAGGATTACATCTGGAGGCTGTATAAAAGAGAGGTGTTAATTTAACAAGCAGACGCAGCATGGATCGCACTGTGTCGTCACAGAGAAACCGACCCAGGGCGGAGGGGATGGACCTGTCGGCAGCTCCAGGGCTCCGCTTGCACCCACGGGGATTATTTGCCGGTAACAGGGGCTCGTGGCTTTCCCCAGGCCCTGCTTAGGGGCAGAGGCAACGCAGCCCCTCCTCTCCCTCTCCCTCCTCTTTCGTGACTCACACATCTGCAAATATTTGGCAAATAAGGAGCGGAGCTCGTGACACCGTCCTCTGGGCCCTGGTTCTCATCGCCTGCTCCGGATCAGAGCATCCCATGCAGCCCTGCTCCACATCCCCGGCTGGGGAGGCATCCGGAGCGTGGAAGAGCCAATACCTGGTGTATTTACCCCTAATCGCAGAGCTGACGGCATTAAATAAGGGATGCGCTGGAGAAGAAGAGCGCCTGGGCTGCGCTTCGCAACTGCGTCAGTGCAGAGTGCGCTGCCCGCTCTGACGGGAGGCAGAAGGGACGTTTTTAATCGGGTTGGCTCAAAATGGAGTCCGATAGGAATTTCGGCCAAAAGCAAAGCAAAGATCATCTCTGTCTGTGCGCAGTCCAGGCAAATCTCGAGCTCTTCTGCCACTGCAGACCACTCCGGTACAAAGCCACGGGTCCCACCCTCGCGGCTGCCACCTCTGCTTGGAAAAATTAAAAAAGGGAAGAAGAAGGAAATGAAACGTTGCAGGCAGCCATTTGTGTCTGATCTCTGCTGAATTAATGAAAGCAATAACCTCATGTTGCCTTCGGTCCCCTAAAACCCCGTTCAGAAGGACGCTGAACCGAGCGACGCCGTGCCTTCCAAGCATTTGAACGGCCTGCACGCTCGCCCTGAGTAAACGCTGCCGCGTCCTCTCTACCCGTGCTTTGCTGCCGGTTGCACGGGGTCCGTCTCTGCCCAGGCTAGAGCGGCTGAAAGTCTACGGGGGGCGCAGGGCACGTAGCCCTTAAAAAGCTCTTTTTTTTAATAGGGCTGTTTCCTTCTGCGTTCAAACCTGCCAGGATCAAACGCAGCGGTTGGGTTTGGGGAGCCCAAGGAGCCCAGCCGGGCTGGGGAGAGCGATGCGGTGGCGGGGCAAAGAGCCAGCGCTGGCACCTCTCTGCTCTTTCTACTCTAAAGCGTCAAATAAGCAGATCTCGGAGGTAAACCTGCAAAAAGTTGTTTCCTCTGCATTTTATTCCCGTAGTCGTTCACTTGCTACAGATGATTCGGAGTCGCCCAGAGAAACGGGGTGCTCCCTTTCCTTTGGAAGGCGTGGAAAGCTTGGGAAGAGATCACAAAATCTGCAAGAGGCGGTTATTAAATTCGGAGATGGGTGACGGCGTGCGCGCACACGCGGTCTCCAGCCATGAGCTGGCTTTTAAGACGCTGTGTGGTCCCTTATCTAAATCAGCCATCTGCCAGAAATTCCTCCGGAGTCACAGCTCTTGACACGAGATGGATGAAGCCCTGGGTCCGACGGGGAAAAACGTTTGCCAGGATCCGGGGTCTCCTTACGACAGCTGTGCTGGGTCCGACGAGGATCCATCTGGCCCAGGATCCTGGCTTTGAAAGGGAAGCGTGGAGGAGCAGACGGAGCTCGCACGCTTCGGGACCAGATGTGCTCATGCCGTTCCCCGTAACCTTCAGGGAGGTGGGGGGTTTTTTTTTGGCAAAGACTCCCCGTATACCTCAGCACCAACCCATGCCGTTGAGCATCCGCGCTCCTCCGGCAGCACGGAGCCGCAGGGATCCATTTGCCAGGCGGTCGCTTCTTCCCCATCGCTGGTCCAGATGCCTCCACCGCGTCCGCAGATGCTTGGGCTTGTTCCGCGCGACACCTTCCCTCCGGTGGCTTTGGCTCATCGGGGCCAAAGCCTCGGCCACCGCTCGGTGCTCCATAAGACAGATGCTTTTTCCCCGTGCTGGGAGGGTTTTTCCCTTCGTACGCGGTCTTCAGCCATGCATCTTGCTTTGCCCCATCTGTGTTTCATAACCGGTTTCCCAGCCGCCGGGATCCCTGCGGATCGGGCCGGTTTCATCCTGTTTTCTCTGCTGTTTGTGCATCCTCTGCTCCTGTTTCTGCTGGGGGTCGCTGGCGGGGGGATGCGACCCCAGCCTTCTCCTTCCTGCCTGCTGCAATTCTACCCGTGGCTCTGCAGGCAGGTTCCCTGCCAGGCAGCATCATTAGAGGAGGAGGGATGGCTCCCCGCTAAATTCGGGGCTCAGGAGCTGACTTACTGCAACTCTCTCTGCAGCATTAAGGTGCATTTTTACCCATTCCTCGGCTTTTAAGGCTCGCGACATTTTCGGGGGGGTGTTTTTGAGCAAAAAGGACAGGGATGTATTTTTACTTCCTATTTTTATAACTCGCCCGCTGCAGCCTTGCGGGATCAGGCGGCCTCTGAGAGCTCAGGGTGAAACTGCCGGGGTTTGAGACAGCCCCCAGAGTATTTTCGGAGAAGCGAAATTACAGGCAAGGGGGTTTCCCATCTGAAATCACACTGGAGGCTGGCTGGGGAAAATATTCCTGTGGCTGTCCCAGCGCTGCAGACACACGCTGACATCGTATTAAAAGTCCTTGGCCAACTCTTTAGCCTTGATGGCTTCCCTCTTGAGTTTTCAGAGCACTTCACTAAACGCCATGTCTTGTGATGAGAAGCAGTATTAGTTGGTTTTGGGTTTTTTTTTTAAATGTATTTATTTTAGGAGCAAAATGGGCTTCTCCAGCCAGCTGGTGCCTGCAGGGCGCTCCGCCGGGCTGTGGAAAATGGGCTGCTGCTTGGTTCTGCCGTGGAAAGATGTTTTATTAGTAATAGTTTGAACTGAAAACTATGGAGGGATGTGATGTGTGTGTGTGTGTGTGTTTGCTGTTTGGCTCGGTCCCCAGGCACGGGGACAAACGCTCCCACCCGTGCCTCCTGGAGAGGGGAGGCTGGAGAGGGCGGGGACGGGACCGGCCCTTTGCTTGTGGCCTCAAATTCCTGCTGCCGCCGGCTGGACTTCCCACCGCGGCAGGCGTTTTTGGAATAGATTCATCCCCTCCATCTCCACCCCTTGATTTGCTCCAGGAATGGATGCTAGGGTTAGGGGGAAAAAAAAACCCCGCCCAAACCCCCAAAGTTGTGCTGAGCACAGTGCTTTGAAAGGTAGGTGGCGGGAAACAGCTGATAATCCTGATTTTGCTCCACCGCCACGTCAGCTACGGCCCCGGCTCCTTCCCTGGGGCAGGGAGCGCCCTGGGTCAGCACGGGCTTGGCACCCCGTGCTTGAACGCAGCACACCCCCGCCTGCTCTCCTGAGAAGAACCCCCAAAATCCCAAGACACGGGTTCATTCTCCCGCGGTTTTTGGCAGCTCGTTCTCTCTGGCGATTAAATTGCCCCCTGCGATAGGAGGCCAGAGATGGAAGACGTCCCGTTGCTTCTCTTCCAAAGCTTCCTGCTCCGGTGTCGTCTTCGGACAAAAAGCTGTCCTCTGCTTGCTCGGCCGGGTGGGTGACCTCTTGTTGCATGCTTCTTCCTGAGAGTTTGGGAGGCAGAAGCAGGATGATTGATCTTATAATTGAAGATAAAGCTGTGTTTGAGGAACCCAGCGTCGCCCAAGCAGCATGACGGGGGGCTTCGGTGGGAGACCTCTGAGTGGGGAGGTCTCCTTCCCCATCCTCGCTGGGAGCGGAGCTTTCCTGTGGTCTGAATACCCATCGCTTGGAAAAAGGTGCCGCGTCCAGTCTAGAAATCGTTGGCAGCAGAAGCGGTTGGAAACTGGGGGTATTTATGGCGGCTCCTGATTTACTCAACAGCTTTTGCTGATCTTAACGGCGCAGGTGATGTCTGCGTGGAAAATTAGGGAGGTCAAAAGAGGCGAAGGGGAGGAGGTTGTGTGCATCTGGATGGAGACGTTGCCTTCCCAGCTACAGGGAGGGCTGGCTGTTGCTTAAATGCGTCGTTTCATGTGGCCATCCTCGTTTCCGAAATGAAAAATTACACAAAAAAGAATTAAATCTGGAAAGGAAGGAAATGAAACGTTTGAGGTGTTACAGTAATCCTGGTTTTTTTGCCTGTCTTCACGTTTCTCCCTGTTTTGATTGCAGGCTCAGACATCAAGCACACAAAGAGCTTTACGCCTACAAACAGGTGAGATGATGCCCAGTAAGTTGTCGTCTTCCTCCCTTCTGCTTAGTGCCAAATCCGCGTTGGAGCAGTCACTCCATCAGGTTTCCTCGTGCTGTTCTTCTCCGTGGGAGGCCTTTGGTCTTCGCAGAGGCGTTGTTAACGCCTGGGCAAACCTCTGTCCCCGCTGATTTAATTTTTTTTCTGCCAGCTGGGCACCCCGGGAGCATCCCTCGCCCTGTTAGTCTGCAGGTCTCCGCGTTTTCAGACGAGGTCCCCGAGCGGTGGGGACGTGGCCACCCCGGGAGCACCTCGGCTGGGCAACCTCTCCAAGCCCTCACCTCATTTCCCGCTGGCGAGCAGTAATGCCGTCGCTTCCCCAGCAATCAAACGATGTTTTGTGGGGTCCGAATCTGCTCCCCGGCTCGGACCCGGCCGCTCTGGACCACCCGCAGCCGTGGGGCTCTCGTAGGGAACACCTCCACGTCACCTCAGCAAACCCAGCTGCTTTCTGCATGCGCCCACACGCGCCGGCGCCCTCCTTAAAATAAACACAGCCAAGAGATCGGCGTCGCTCGCTGCACAGCGTAGGAGCCCAGGAGGTTTAAATTCGGGAGGAGACCTCCTGGGTTTGGTCCTCGTGTTAGTGGTTACAGCTGTGCCAGCGCTGCCTTCCTCCTGTGCCTGCACAGGGGCGAAGACTTGATGGGCTCCGTGGCTGTGCCGGGTTCACTGGGGCTTTCCAGTTCTACTGGGACGCTAAATGGGATCTCCGTTTACGGAGGTGTTTGCTGCGAACGCTCTCGGCAAAAGCTGTGTCCTGACCCCGGCTCTCTGTCTTACAGGTTATACTCAAGGAAAAGGTGAAGGAGCTGAACCTACACGAGGTGAGTAAGTCCCTGGGGCGGTAGCGTAGCGGCAAAGACTCCCTCACCCTCCTCTTCCTCACGCTGGGGAGGGGATGGGGGACAGGCAAAGCCTGGCACAGGTAGGAAGGTGCAAAAACCCAGACTTAACTCCTTCAGGAGCAAAACGCACAGCTGGGTGTGCCGGCATCGCTGCCCGCTTGCTGCCAGCGCCGGGGTTTACTCTGCTCCCCGGTACAGGGAACACGGTGGGGGCAGGTTAACGGCTGCGCCGGCAGCTCCATCCCTCCCCGACGCCGCTTTTCTCCTTCAGAAAGTCTAATTGCTTGTTAATGCAGCCGGTAAAAGCACATCTGCAAAGGGGGTCTGGATTGAGCCATCTCCCTCCTCCTCCTGGGTCCCCTTTAGCTTTTACTGCGTCATTATTATTTCTTGCAGCATTATTATTATTATTTATTGCATTCTTCTTCTTTACTGCATTATTATTTGTATTATTTACTGCATTATTGGTATCACCAATAATACCTGTTTATACGCAGGCTGGGCTGCGTATAAACAGTGTCCCTTGGCGGTTACGTCCCCTCCAGCCCCGCTCAGCCTCGCCACCGTCGGAGCCTGACGATATCCAGCACATCGCTGCCGGCCGCGTTACTCGGGCAGAGTAAACGCTGCCGGGATTTAATTGAAATCAAAGATAAACACGCTCCCCAGGCTTCTGCCCCTCGCGCTCCTGGTTTGCAGCTTTGCAGAGAAGGGCTGGCTGGAAGAGGCAGGCAAAGGGGGTGTCCGCTTGGACGTATTAAGAATTAAACCCCCTTTTCCCGGCCCCAAAACCACAGGGGTTTCTCCTCGGATTCGGGAGGAGGGCAGAGCCCGCGGCAGCCATAAAGCAAAGCCCTAGCGGACTTTGCCTTTAAACTCTGCAGGGGGAACTGCGCCAGCGACTGCCCCGTCCCCACGATGTGGGCACAGCGGTGGCTCCTCGCTGGGTCCCCCTGCGTTAACGAGTCGAGAGGATCTCCGGAGGCTGAAACACGTCTCGGACTAACGATGTTACCCTCATCCGCCTCTACCTACCCGCCCCTTGAGCTTTAAAACGCAGTAGTTGTTCTCCGCAGGTTTTCAGGCTGTTTTGGGGCTGTGTGTCCCTATTTACAGACCATTTTTCGTGCTGAAGTTGAGCAGGAATCTGCTCCAGCCCCCTGCTTCAGCCGCGGGCCGGATTTATTTCCCCCACTGACAACAAAAATGCCCACCCGCATCCCGGACCCAAGTCCGCTCATCTGTTAAATGCCAGCTCCGTTTGTTTATAAGCCTCTATTATTATTATTTTTTTTAATTAACAAGAGCCCGTCCCGCGTTTCCTCCTCACTCTCCGCTCCCTGCAGCCGAGGGGCTAAATCCCACGGGCAGGAGGGCGGCAGAGGGACGGAGCGGCCCCTGCTCGAGACCCCTGTTTCTGTTCCGCTCGCATTAAGGTGACTTGCAGCGGGGGTTTCCCTCCGTCCTCCTCCTCCGTCGCCTCTGCTCCCAGCTCTCCGCAGCTTTCCCAGCCCAAACACTGAGGGGGAGGAGGAGGGGGCCACGGGGAAGGGGATGGGGCAGCTCGCGCTCATCCCTGGGATTCGGGAAAGGCTGGAAAGGATTTTCTCTGGCTCCCTCCCAAATATCCCTTTTTGGGCATTTGGATTTTGGTATTTACAGTAAGCGGTTCTGGAAATCGGATCACGGGGGGGAGGAAGGGGGGGGGGGGGTTTTCGCCATC